AGGTCCCTTCCAACCCAAACTATTCTATGATTCTATGAAACCCCTTAGTTAACAGACTTCCATCATCAAAATATATGCAAGCCACAGCAGCTATTATTGAGCCTTTTCCTCAAACACTTCCTGCAAAAATGCTGTTTCTTGACATATGCAAAACATTTTTGCTTATCAGAGTTCAATCTCTTCTGACATGTAATACTGTATTTTTTAATACATAAAAATTGGACTTCATATTTAATACCACAGCCACAAATTCAGACTATGTGAAGATTCTTCCATTAGTATTATATAGATGGGCAGTCTGCCCATCAGGGGAGCAGGGTCATCTTGTCCACACTGAAGAAAACTATTTTAGAAAAGTTTTGTTTCACTGCATGCAAGAGACTTAAAAACCAGCTGAATCCAAGATGAAGAATAGACTGTAAATCCCCCTAGCATGCTCCACGGTGTGGTCCCATTACAAAAGGATGTTGCAAAGGATTATGTCTTAGATTCTGCTTGCAAATGGAATCATTAAGATTGTGAAGGAAATCAGGCAGATAGGCAAAGAGCCTAGGAGCAGGACATGCTGAAGAATAACAGTTGTTTGTTAGAAATAAAACTGGAGGACAGTCCGAGTTACAATAGCTCTTGAACAAATAGGGTCATTGATATTGCATCCCTGATTTGAGAACATTCAGTTCAGCACATCAGGGGAAACTAGTACACGGAAGTTAAATAGCAGTTTCCTCATTTTAAGCCATGAACCATTTTCATAGCATTTCCTTCCTGATCACCCCACTGATGGAACATTTCTACAGGGGTCTGAAGAGTAAATTACTGCATACCTCCCTAAATTTTAAGGGTCCTTCCTACCCCTAAAGATGCTTCTACTTCTAGACTGGCATTCAGCAAAACTCTAGTGAATTATACAGACTGAACAGAGGTAGAACAACTGTGTTCATACACCCCAAAACCTGATCTGAAGAACTACTATAGACATTACTCATGATTTTGTTTCAACTGAGTTTAAATAAACCAATCTGCCACACAAGGAAAAACTAAAACATATTCCATCCTTAATGAAAGCTACAGAAAAATATTTGGTAAGTACTGTTGGTGGGATGCTAAGTCAAATCGAAGGAATATGAAGTCTGTGAAGTTTAACTGCGTGTTGCACACACTTCTGCATCAGACATTACACAGGAGCAGGCCTCAAAAAAAAATAAATCAAGATTTATTAGCTAGTTTTCTGGAAGATATTAGAAAAAGAAAGAGGGATTGTGCCAAACTTTAAAACTGAAGTTCAGTCTCACACTGCTCATCTGTCCTTTCAATAAAGTACATGCAGGAATAACTGCAAAAATACATATTATCAAAGCCCAGTAGCATTCCATACAGAGTGCCTGAAGAATAGGTTAGCAGCAGATACAGGCTCAATGAGAGTGAAGTATGACTACACCACTAGTATGTAAGATTTCTTAACCAACGTAGCTAGAATGTCTTCATCAAAATAGGCTTCCATACCAGCATAAGCCTTTTCCATGACTGGAAATATTTGCATAATTCTCAAAGGCAAGCACTTACATATGTATTGTTTGTCAGGTGTGGAAGCCTGACTTCTGCCACTGTACTCTAACTGCAGTAGTAACACGCAAAGTGTCTTAAATTTGTTTTCAGCTGTTTACCTAAATAAAATATTAACAGAACTATTTAATAGACTTCTGTCTCCCCGTTTTCACCACCAGGTGGCAGGCAGTGGTAGGGTGAAGTGGTTCGCTTTTCCACCTGCAAACTTAAGATGTACCTACAAGCACAAAAGAGCACGAAGAGCCAGAGAGCTCAAGTTCTGTACAGACGATATGCTTCTTGTGAATTCTGCGGAACTAAGTGCTCCTTGAAGAATCAGTATTCTGTATATTAAAATGTATGTACAGACACACACTATTTTGTGTATTTATATTACATGTGTATACATGCGTGTATACCTGGAAAACACAGAAGTCTTTCCCACAAACCACTGACTACTAATCAAGTTCACCCAAGGCATACATGCCACTCGGTTAATTTTCTTCAAAGTAACTCCATCCATTGGGTTTACAGTTTAAAGGTAAAGGTTTAAGGCAACTCATTACCACAGAGCACAGCAAACTGGTACTAACGGAGCTGGGATAAAATACAGAAATATCAATACAGTTTGCATAAGCACTATTAGAGACTTCAGAAAAATCCTATTTTCATATACACTGTTATAGTACAGTTAGAACATACCTTCTAGAAGTTTTTGTAAGCTGGATCTCATTACATGAATATTTTCAATGCCAACAAACTGGAACCTAATGTTAGAATAGTTGTCTTCATTCTCATAGCCCTTCCCAGCAGCTCTGTTTGCCATTGCATTAAGCTTAAAAGAACAAAATAAAAATACTGAAAACCAGTACTTGAAATAAAAATCTCAAATTAAGAAATGAAAGTAATGCAATTTCAATGGAATATACTGGGAAAAAACCACACAAGAGCACATACTATAAATAGATTCTAATAAATTAACAGTTTGTGGCAAATCAACTTGAAAGCATTCAAATGTAAGAAAGGGATAGTACATAAAAAGCAACAGGCAGTCTAAATATAGAGACACATCTGAATAATGCATTTAATAATCTCCTATTCTCTCCTCCATATTCCCACCAACAAGCCTTTACTTAATTCCAAACATTTCTGAGCAAAGACACTACAAAACAACTAACCTAGAAAGGAAAGAGTATGACCCAGACTTAACCATACATGCACTTCCAGGCATCCTAAAAATGTCAGTTTTGGGGGTAAGCAGCTAGTAAATTGCTGCAGCTATAAAAATGACAACTATGAAAACCCACGGTTGGCTCAGTTCCTGTCTGTCAGATCGACCTACTACTGAACCCTGCTCAAAATAAGTGCAGATCCTACAATGTAGGATTTTTACTTTACAACCTTGTTTTCCAGCTCCCATGTTCAGAGATTTGAGTGAAATAATACTAATTTAAATGCAGATGGGTCTAAAGAGTGAAAGTTACCCTACACATTCCAACACAGGTCAAAAACCCAACATAATTCAATTTAATTAGACAATGATGAAGTATGACCTCAGAATGCTACAACAGAGTATCCCCTACTTCTTCCTGGCTAAGACAGACAGCAATAGCAGTTTCCATGGAACATTTTACAGTACACAGTACTCCCTCCCATTCTAAAAGAAACCCCACCACAGTTCACAATTTCATGAATTTAATTTTGAACAGTTACAATGACTTGGATCCCACTCAACTATTCACTTCTTAACTATGTTTTAACTATATTTTTAAATGCACCTCCCCAGAAGTTCACTAGCACATTCAGTGAATTCTAGCTGAGTCCTGACAGTGGTTCAACTTCTTTGAGTAATTAAACGCCTGAATAAAGAGGCCTGACCTTACCTTTAAAGAACATTTTTGCCCATGATGGAGTCATATTTAACTCCAAATTGTTCAAAATTACACTGTATCCCTGTACACTAGTGTTCAGGAAGAGAGGCTAGTCTGTAGAACTTGAAGTACATACCTTCGGCCTGGTGTCCATGACATACATGTAGCGATTTGAAGGATTTGCTTTACTGATGGCTTGCAACATGTGTTCATCTTCCAGGCACCTGGCACTGAAACCTGATAGAGGCTGACTGCATCTGCAAATTGCAGCCTACCATGGAAAACAAAGAACAAGTCAGCATCAGTTTAATACCTGTAGTCAAAATGCTTTGCATAATTCTAAAAAGATACCGAAATAAATTGTTTCATTTAGCAGATAACAGCACTAAACTAAAAAAAGTTTAGGTGTTCCAATTTTTTTAAGCACATCAACTTGCAGACCTTCAAACACAGTACCTACAGCTTAAATCTAAAAGTTTATCAAAACAGCTTTTCAGGCTCATCTACATGGGCAAGGCACCAGTTTACACGGTGGACTTTCGCCAAGTATAAAACTTAAAAAAAAAAATATAGTCGGGAAAAAATACACTTTAGGAAAGCAAGTTACTCTCTTAGTATGAAATGAATTATAGTTGGTTTACTCCTGCAAGTACAATTTTATTATTCAAGTACAATATGTTATCCTCTAATGTAATTTTCATCATGTCATATTCAAAGAGATAATGTATTTCAGAAGGTATCAGGTGCATCTTCCAAATAGTAATTATCTTCAAATACACCTAGTAGCTTAATAGCCATCCTTCATAAATTCTTCAACTCAGCAAGGTAACAATCCTTCTCTCCCTTCAAAGATAACCCCTAGCCAAGGCAAGCAGATGCTGCTTCACACCATTCTCTACCAAACCCTGCAAAATCTTATTTCTCATCCTCTAGTTCTTTTTACCTTGCAAATTCCTCCTTAAAGAACCAGTTCTATTCTTTTGGGGTGTGGGGTTTTTTTTTAACCCCCATTTTGACCTAAGAGATATAATTCTTGATATATCAAGGAAGACAGATCACTTGACAAAAAGCTATCTTCAGTTATCTTAAGGTCAGTTTCTGAAAGCTTTGATTGAACTGATCATCAACTGATTACTTAAGGATTTCTTTTAAACTGGCTTAGCTTATTTCAACATCCTGTTAGACACCACTAGTGTCAGCTGTATTTAAGGTTATCATGAGTTATACCAGTCTCATACAAGTCACCGTACTTACCTCCCTACCTACCCTGAACTACTGCCAAGTGTTGAGAAATACTTTTTACCACATTTGCACTAAAAGGAAAAACACACTATACCTCTTTTTTTTTATGATAGTATGACAACACTGGGAATCTTCCTTTGCTTCTGAACTTGGAGCTACCAACAATTATGGGCTTGCTTGCAGTTCTTGGAACATAAAGTTCTCTAGGATAGGTTTCACAAATCTGAAAGACACAGATACATAAATTTATTTTTGTGTACAAGGCACAGAGCCTATACTAGTTTTATTGCATCCAGTTTGAGATATGTTAGGTGAAATAAGAGACAAAGGATAAACACTAACATATTCCTCTATACACGTAAATAGCTCAGAAGAGGAGACAAGCCATGGATAAAGTACTACTAATTGGTGTCCAAGGTATACAACCAAGCACTGCTGGAAAGCACTGATATACTAACATTCACCTCTCAGGAATGCAACTCTTCAGTAGAAATGCTAAGAGTGTGTTTCAAATAAAATATTGAAAGTACTTCCCTCATTTTTTGTATTTGCAGACTACAAAGTAAGATCAAATCTAATCTTGGAATCAGCCGCACCACCACAGCCATTGTCTCCCACAGCCAACATTGCAAATGCTACAGTAGAATCCGTCTTAGTTAAGAGAGATAACAAAGCTGCAGAGCACCAGAATTGCTGGGGCTGGGCTTTGAACAAGTAAGTACTCTAGAAACAATCCCAAAGAACACACACATCCATGCACACACACTCTCAATGAGGCCTTGGAAAAAACTTCAACTAAAGTTGTGAGATCACACACTCCTTAAGGAGTTAACTGTCCCCACCTGCAAGTTTTTGCTTATGCTGCAAGCCAAGTGATTTAATAGTATTAGACTGTTTTCTATAGGACTAGAGTCAGAGGATATACCAGAAAGATGCAGAGCAAGACATGTTTCCATTACAACACTTACCTTATAATCACGATTTGCATCAGATAACTGCCAGTTAGCATTTGGCACTCCCATTCGCTTATATTCTTCTGCTAGATCAATAAGCTGCCAACCTTCGGCTTGTTCAGATTTATTTTGTTTTGGATTATAGGAGAAGGCATACAGTTCTTCATATTTTGCTAAAAGGTAAAGAATAAGACTATGTAATGAGTTGTCCCCAAAAATGTCTGAGTGGAAAAAGGTAGCACAGTTGACAAGTCTTGAAATTGCCCAAACTGCAGAGAAAGTTTCAGGCTTCAAGATTCTCAGAAGCAAAACTAAATAGACACTTGACGTTCCTGAAATATTTATTCTGCAACCATCACACTGTTAACTGACACAATTATAGATATTTAGTTAAAGGCAAGTTAGGAGAGCTTTCTTGAGTGTGCTTGGCCTACTTCAGCCAGGACATTTCTAAAGCCATAAGGGCAAAGTCACAAAATGAAGACTGACAAAATTAAACAAGACAAAAGGTAGAATTATCAGAAGACTTCACAAGAGCTACAAGAACAAACAATTTTTGGAGGTAAGAACAGAAATTTACATCTATTGACCTTTAAAGCAAAAAAGCTTTCAAAATATTTTACATTTTTCCTAATACACTATTCACCTACCACAGATGATGACATTTTACATTGTTCTAAACACAAAGCACACAAAAAAAGACCATACTAGGTGACAGAAGTCTCTTGTAAAGCTGAACTGGTAGTGCTATTTTAGCATAAAAACTTCAGCTTTATTTTTGAAACTGCATGAAATCAGTAACAAGTTAGCATTTGCTTAGTAGCATTTTATCCACGGAACACACCAATTAAGAAAGACTATATGCATTTATATTCACAATTTCAGGGATAATATTAGAAATGCAAAAAAAATACAGGAATCTCACATTCTGTTAGTGAACATCAGTCACCTACAAAAGCCAGACAACACATCTTCTGAATTTGTATGCAGATTAATACTTAAATCATTAAAATTCTTTTACATATCAAATCCATTTAAAACACTTTACATAACGCATGTTTAAAAAAAAAAAATGCCATGGATTTTTCTTCCCCCTGCCAACTCATTATCCAGGCATATACTGCAAAGTCTTTTACAGTTAGAAGTATTACCTGTTCTTGACAGCTGAAGCAAAGAGTTATAGATGTCATGACAATCTCTCTCTCTGGGAACAACAAAGTGAACTATCCTGAAGTTCTTGCACTGGATGACAAGGGGGCAGCCAGAGGTAGTCAAGGGAAGTTTTTCCACTGCAGCAATGTGATGATGTAGTATCTGCAGCATACAAGAACTCACAGTGTAAGCACACTAATGAAAAATGATTACAGCATACTATTTACAAAAGCAATTATAAGACACATTAAACAACGCTGAATATGGATTTTGACTAATTTTGTCAATCATTTAGTTATAAAAATAAATAAATTTAGAGGAAATCCAAGACTGGCGTTTTGGTCAAGATACCATAATTTGTCTAAATTTCATTACTGTCTTCCCTCATATTTTGAGGGGTTACCTAATGTTTATAAGGGGCAGTAAATATCCTTCTAAATGCAAAAAAAACCCAACCCACCAAGTAGTAAAATTCCACTGGGGTTCTTCAGTCCTCTTCTATAACTTTGCTAACTGACATGCTGACATCTAATTAGGCAGCATCCAAATTGGCTATCTGCCTTTTTTTTTTTTTTAAAGGATGTACAGGAACATACTTCAGAATTTTCAGGCAAACTAAAGCAAATCAGGGAAACAACATATAACAGATACAGAAGATGCTGAAGATTTTAGAATTCCCGTATTTAACATCTATAGAATGAACAGGAGATAAGACATCTCCTGTATTATCCATTGCACGATGTAGACATGAAAGTCTCTCAGCTAAATGCTTTGCAACCACTCTTAACAGAAGACTGTCACAGTAGTGGATATACAAAAGCCCTCCATAGATCCATTTCTGTGGCAAATCTACATGAAATTTAAGAAAATACATGGGAAAGTAACAGCTGTTCAACCACGGGAAGAAAGCCACTGATACATTACCTCAACTGAACAAGATGTTCTTGATAGCATTTCAATTACTCACTGAAGCAATCATCTCCTCTTACATATTGATCAGAATTAGACAGGCATCTGAAAACTATACTGCCAAATATGCATTTACAGAGAGAATATATCTTGGAGACATTATCATAATTATACTTGGTACTTGCATTATCATCACATAAATGCAATACTCTGACTATATATTCATCTTCCCGAAAATGAAACCTTTTACTGTAGTGCACAGGGAGATGTAAGTAATGCATCTGAATCATGTTCTCCCCAATAACCCGTTTTGTTTAATTTGTACAAAATTGCACATTGTATCCAAGAACAAATAATGGAAAAATAACTTTTCCTGAAAGCACCATGAGGCATCTAGCCAGATAACCAGGATACAAGATTAAGAGTAACCCAGAAAGACACGCCTACAGAAAAAAAGTTAACCACACCCAAGGAAATGAGATTTCATCCTGGAGGATGACAGACTTAACACATTGAATTCAGTCAGACAGCTGGGCTACAATGGAAGCCAGAACTTCATGTCCACACGTGTACCACCAGGGCACTGAGCAGAAAAACTAATGGGAATTACTGTACTATTCAACTTTGGTTGTACAACATTGGTAGTGGTCACCAAGAAGCTGCAGCCCCTTCTGAATTCTTTTGTTCCAGAGATAAACACTTGAGAAGAAAAAGCTGCTTACCACTCTAAAAAAGGGCATGGGATCTTCAATATTTCACCAAAGCCTAGACCTTTAGATTTTACTGTCTCATTTAACCTAGGCAGGATCTAAATACAAGCTAAGTTAACACAGAAATTTTAAGCCTGATGCTTAAACTATCTAACAGTCTTCCACTCCTGCCTCTGAACTGCAGTGCAAGTCAGTTATTTAAAGAAAACCACCACACTTTCACTCAGGAATACAAGTGAAGGCTATGGAAGGAATTACAGCAGCTTGAAGAAGCAAACACTTTCAATACTACCCAATTTCAACTGCAGCAGTGTCATGCAAGAGCACAATATGCAAATCATTAACTTATTATGATACCATAAACAAGGAGAGCATGGGAAATAACTTAACTTAGACAAACATTTTAGTAAACAAATTCAACCTTGGATCAGGAAGAACAAATGCATCTGGAGAACCTATGCTTCTGAACCGCGAGTGTTCATTATCCTTACCCACGTTTCTCTCTGGCTTGAATCTATGAATAACAGATGAGTTGCCGTAAGGTACAGAGTTCCCGTCAGTGACTTATTGCTCGTGCTGAACCTATCTAGTAACTTCACTTGCTCTACCTGTAAGAAAAAGAGAGGAGAGGGAGCAAAACTTAAATTTTTGCTTTTTGCAGAAAGCAAAACCCTAACTTTGCAAAAGCTCTGTCAGTTCGTGCAATGATTTTGAAAATGGTACAAAGCATAACACAGCACACAAAGCTATTGAGGCCAAACTATTAAGAACACAATAGTGGTCACATAAGCTTTGAGAAGACTGACTAGTCAAAATAACCTGTTTCAATACAAAAGTGCATAATGAAGGCACAATGCTAGGCTTATGAGAATGCTTAGTCCATATACATAACTACTGCGGTTATTTACTAGTAAAAGAGACCAGGATACCAAGTTTTTAAAGACATAATTAAGAATGATTAATTACCAAGCTTTTTAGACTGCTTCCCCAAAGTAGAGCAAACACACACTAACAATTTCCTGTTATTGAGATGGCAGCACTGAATTAACAGCTGATCTCAGCAACATGCTTCGTCAGCTGTCTGCAGACTCAAAGCCATAAAGATTATGTCCTCCTGACTTCAATTTTAGGTATCAACTGTCTTTTGAATCATCTCCAACTTTAAAAGTCTAGATCATCATAACCTTGCCTCGTAGTCAAACTCTAATGAAATGTAAGCATTATACTAATAATTATAACAATCTTCTAGAAATTCAAGGACTGTGCTGTCATTTGAAGCAGGTATTTCAAGCTCGAGTCTTAAAAGGGCAAATTTCTCCTCCTGGTATTCCATCAACATTTTTATCTCAATCATATGGAAAACATTTCAAAAGAAAGTGATTTCTAGATGGCCTGCGTTTGATCTGCTGCTTGTAACTTCATGTGCTCCACAGTTTGCTTTATTTGAAGCAAACATTACGTGATTCTTTGTGTGCAACAACAGGAAAGGAGTGCGGCGAATGGCTTATCTCCATGCATTCCTCTATTTCTTGGCAGCACTGTCTCATTAATGCCAAGTAAAAGCTCTTATGCTTGAGGCTTGCTGCCGCTGCCATTAAATGCATGGCAGAACTCCAAAAACTTCCACACCAGCAAGACCAGCACCCAGAGGAGGTGACTAGGAGAGCCCACTGTGCTGATATTAAGCCGGTTTTAATTCACATGCACCAATTTATCTATCTACTAAAACACATATAAAACACTAAAAACTGTCTTTTCAATTCAGGTATTTCTTATTAGCAAGGCCTAATTTTGTGTTTGGAAGTTAGAAAAGCAATTTCATGCATACAAAACAAAATGGACAAAATACAAGTATCTACTAAAAGCCAAGCGCTACTATGATATTCTAGATTTCAGTTTAGAAAGCAAAAAACATGGAAGCTACATGCATCAGTACCTCAAAATACATTATGCTGTAACCAGCAAGGTATCAGTGCTCAGATACAGAGCACCATAAATCACTATTAGCCAAAATGCAGAATTCATTTTGGAGCAGTGCCACAGCAGCAACTGCTCAGGTACCTGGCACCGCACCTCCCCAGCAAATTAAGTAGTGCACAGAAACTGCTCCAGTTTTGTTCCAGTAACACAACCCACAAAATCCCAGCACGCAAAGTTCCATTCTCCTCCATGTAGTAAGACAGCTATTCTCAGATCTGTATTTCTATGCTAGATGAGGACAGGCATTAGTGCTCCAGCTTCCTCTTACACAGGTAAAGTCTTCAAGAATTCTGAAAGCAAAGTTCTAGATACACTTTCTTAAAGACAACTGAAATGTAATTTAGATTCAGCCTCTATAGATGACATGTTCGTTTGAACTTGACCCAAGCCAGCTTTAATGGGTACTCAGCTAGACAGACACTTTTGTTTCTCTTTTTAATGGTAAAGTTTGGCAAATCCTTAGTTATAAAAAGCAAGTCAGTCATCATTTTTGAAGAGAATGGGTTCACAAGATTAAGAAATTGAAGACTGCTATTGAGTTTTAGCACATCTGTAAACAAAGATCATTTAAGTCGTCAGAAGTGATATTCTGACAGTAGCTAGCACTAACAAATTAGCGAGTTTTTACACCCGTAGGAATTTGAACAGCTACCTCAATAACAAAGAGTATTTACAGTGAAAGAGTCACCAGTTTATCAGGACTAGAAGTTACAGATTAAAGGGAAAAAAAAAAAAAAGAAATGCTTTAATATAGGAGACAAGTTGGAACAGAAAAGAAGGTTGAAACTATACCTCCAAAACCTTGCATTAAAAAAGCTGAAGGATTAAATTAGAACAATTGATCCAACACAAAAATAATTACAGTATGTTACTCCAAAATTCTTTTATTACAACTTTGTATGACATTGACTGAAATTAAAAGGAGTTTTCCCTTCCCCATTTAAGTCTCAGGCTTGCAAACGTAAGTTTAGGATTTAGTAGTCAAGCTAAGCAAAACTTTCCACCTCCAGTAGAAAACCCATCAGTATTTTCACTAAAACAATTTGACTTCAAATATACTAACAGATTTGACTAAAGAAATTCCAGTTTATGTTTTACTTTAAAATATTTTTAAGGACACTACTTTTAAAGCTTCATTGCAAAACCACAATATTCTTATTTGTAATTTTATCACTACCGTCACTTAAGACACATTGTGAACTGGTTTTCATAATTCGTTGCTATTTAAATATGTATTCTCAGACAGAAGTGATTTTTAAGTTGACCTCACTTCTTTATTCAACATAAATCCATTGGACAGTTTAATTTCACAAAAAGCTAAACTTTATTTCAGGTAGCTATGCCGACAGTTCTAAGACAATTTTAACTTCAACATTTCCAAACTGAAATTTGAGGAGGAATAAAACCTATTTCAGCACCTCCTCCGAGTGATGACAGCTTCCCAGCACAGCAATTACTTTGTGCAAGACTGCACTGTTTTCAAGCTTATTTCACTATTACTTTAATAAGCCAAATTGAAAAACTGTGAAGTACTGTCAGATGAGAAAAAGTAAATGTGTCTCAGAATGGCTGAAATGAGATCCCACTTGAGCCTACACATGCACTGAACTTTTAAGGCCCACAGTGCAGGCTGTACTTTAGTTTCCTTTCTTCCTATGACTTTAATACTCAGTTATTACCATCTAGCGTACATGCTTTTTAATCCATCTAGATATTCAAGAAACCAAAAGCTTACAAAAAGCTAAGCAAGCATCACAATTACAACCAAAAACCCATGCTATTTCTAGCCATGAAATTGGTATTTTTAGAATGGATAATTTTTTTGGTATGAATTATAGAAGTAATTGCTTCAAGTAGTAAGTCTTGTATCTTGTAAGCTGTGTTCAGAGCTTGTTTCTCTCTTCAGTTGTATTATTACATGAAGTATTTTTCCCCAGCAGGGTCCCAAAAACATGCAGAAACACAACCACTTGCAGATGCAAAGTTGTCAGTGACCTGTAGCCCTTCTAGTCTCAATATCAGGCTTGAAAGTTAAACAGCTACTCAGATCATCAAAAGACTTTGGTTTTAGTCCAGTTTTTATTTCTAAATTAGCTATTGACTGTAACAATACAATATTAAGTTACCAAACAAGGAGTTTCAGGTTTATAAGCAAATAGGCTGATAAAGAAACCTTATCTCCAATCTGTCAGACTGGTGCAAGATTATTCCATCCAGTAAGCTAAAGTGTCACTAAGAGTAGCTTCATCAGAGACCTTCCTCCTGTTTCATATATGCACATATGAATATATATGAAAAACAGAATTAGCTATATGCATTTCATATAAAATTTATATAAGCTGTTACTAAAAAAAAAATTAAAAGCCTATTCTTCTATATAATTATTGGTTATAAACCTACTATTTGGAACTGAAATGCGACCACTCCTTTTCTCCACACATCTGTAAGTCTAGTTTAAAGTCAGACTGACAGGTTAGGAAACTAATTACTTGACAATTTCCAGTACCCAACAGAGAGGGGCAGTCTATTCAGCAGCCCTTGCAGTCAGGGCTGGAGTGAGATAAGAAAAATATTGTTAGAAATTTAATTCTAGAAAAGTTGTGACTTAAAGACTTACTTAAAAATTATATACAAAAAAGACTTGCATCTTTTTTTCACATCTTAATTACAGAAGAAAGACAAGCTAACAAACTAAAACTAGAAAAAAAATCAGAAAAGTCTAAAATATCAACTGCAGCTTAGCTAACTTTTTTGAGTAGCCTAACACATTGTACATATACCGACAGCTTGCATTCCTAACGCCACACACCAGAGTCTGTAAAAGGGGGAGGGGAGGGAGTGTTGTTTTCACAACTGATTTGCCTCCAAAGCTGACAATACAAGCTGCAGGGAACCACATCCAAGTCCAAAACCCAACTGCAATCCTCTCCCAGCTGGCTGCTCCTCTCCCTCACAGCCCGTGCTACACCAGAATTTTTAGCGTGTTCCTCTTATTAAGGAAACGGTTCATTCCCGCGGGGCCCCACCGGCGCAGCACGCACCGAGCTCCCCACGGGAACT